TCCAAAAACATTTTTATTCCACCAGGCCTTTCAAAATCTAAGGCCCCTGAGAATCTCAGACTGTTACCCAATTGCCGCCTGTTCTTCGTTAAATGTTCATTATTCAGTTTAATTTGTTAATTCCATGCTCTTGATTAGGCCACGTCTGTTTTTGTTACTGTTATTGTCAGGTGGGCGGGATAAAAATAAAGTAAAATAATCAATCAATCCATTCTTTTTTTTATATTGAGAGCCATCTTGGGCCCCCTTATAGACAGAAAAAGAGCCTATAAAGAAAACAAACAAATAATAAATTTCTATTTATTATTAGGGATGTGGTGGTGCTGTGGGTTAAACCGCAGAAGCCTCTGTGCTACAAGGTCAGAACACCAGCAGTCGTCTCTTGTCCCAGCTCCTGCCAACCTAGCAGTTCAAAAGCATGTAAAAATGTGAGTAGATGAATAGGTACCACCACGGTGGGAAGATAACGATGTTCCATGTCTAGTCGCACTGGCCACGTGACCACAGAAACTGTCTACGGACAAAACGCTGGCTCTACGGCTTGGAGACAGGGATGAGCACCGTGCCCTAGGGTTGGCCACGACTGGACTAAATGTCAAGGGGAACCTTTACCCATTTATTACATTTACATACTGCCCATCCAGGGGCAACCCACTCCCCTGAAAATTCCCCACCTGCCCATCCAACCCAAAGCAGACATGTAATTCCCAGACACACACAGAAATCCTGATGGTGACACAAAGTTTAAACCTAAAATGGTTCAACAAACCTACTGCAGGTTCTTAAAGGACTCTTCAAAGAGCCCAGTATTAACAAGCTTTCTAAAAAAGAGGAGGGAGGTAGCCTGGCATACATCCACAGGCAAGGCATTCCGAAGCACTGTGGCCACCACCAAGAAGACCTTATCCGTAGTCATCATGGCCTCCCTCCGGGTAGCCACCTGCAGCAACGGAGCCTGGGAGGAATCAGCAGCCATGGGTAGAAGATCTTAAGTACAGTGGCACCTCGCAAGACGAGTGCTCCGTTTTATGACAACATTTATATACAGTACTGCCCATCCAGGAGCAACCCACTTCTCTAAGAATTCCCTACCTGCCCATCCCACCCAAAGCAGACATGTAATTCCCATATACACACACACACAGAAATCCTGTTGACAGCTAAATGAAGATGTTTAAACCTAAAATGGTTCAACAAACCTACTGCAGGAGGAGCATATTCTTAAAGCACTCCTCAAAGAGCCCAGTTTTGACAAGCTTTCTAAAAAAGAGGAAGGAGGCAGCCTGGCGTACATCCACAGGCAAGGCATTCCAAAGCACTGTGGCCACCACCAAGAAGGCCCCGTCCATAGTCATCATCTTCCAAGCCTCCCTCCGGGTAGCCACCTGCAGCAACGAAGCCTGGGAGGAATCAGCGGCCACGGGTAGAAGATCTTAAGTACTTGTAAACTGCTTTGATCACCCAAATAGAAAAAGAAAGCTTACACAGAGATGTCACGTTGGCAAAATTCTCCTCCATGACTTGCCGGTGCAGAGCTCGCTGGCCTGAATTCAGCAGAGCCCACTCTTCCTTGGTGAAATAAACGACAACATCCTCAAAAGTAACCGGATCCTGAAGGTGGAGGACACGTGTTACCCTCACCAAGAATGAAACGGTTCTGCAAAACAACTAAGTAGGGACGGGCTTTTTCATCCGCCACCCCCTACCATCACGTCACTGGCCAGGCCCTCCCAAGAATGCAGAACACTGGGAGTGGTAGTTTCACCGCCAGAGGGTGCCTCTTGAAGAACTAGGATTCCCAGAAAGCAATAGGATAGCTTTTAAAAAAAATTAAGAACACGAAGCAAAGATGTGGTAAAGGCCAACTCTAGGTGGGTGAAATGTGGGTGTGTATGGCTGTGGGTTTATGGGATGGAACTCCCAGAATTCTGCCTGGGGAATTCTGGGAGATGGAGTCTCAGAAAATTATTAAGTCCAACCTAGAAGAGAATTAAGCCAAGAAAGTGGTGTAGGCTTCAATGCTTTGTTGACAGTATCCTCAGCCTTTCCTGTGGGCAGCAAATGGAATGGGGCAGATATTTTCCCCCACATTCAGGCGGTCGTGCAAAAGAAATCGGCAACTTATCTCCATGGATTTCACCTTACCTGATCTGATTGCACAAAAGTTGTTTCCATTCCTCCGGGAAGAACGGGTGAGTGAGGACTTGTGCTCAGCACCCTCCCAGGACCTGCAAGAGACACAGGCGGGAAGATGTTTTCTTGTTCATACGTACGTGTTATGTTTTTGTAGACGAGAAAGATCTCTCGTCACGCTTTTGTCCAGGTGATATTTCAGTCTCTGGAGGGACTCGGGGAACTAGAATGTACGAAAAGGTCAGGCGGAGCACAATCCTTACCAAACATGGGAGCGCCTCCACCCTTTTCCTGCATATTCTTTAAGAACAAGGGCCTCCGATTCGTGCCCAGGGATGTCTCTGATGCTTGAGGGAAGCCAGTGGAAAATTCCGATGACCCCTGCACCCAAAGCAACATTTTAGACACTGAGGAGAGAGGGAAGGAATTACAAGGATCATAGCAGAGGAGGCAGTGTCAGAGAGAAGAGGGGGGACATGCTTTGGTCTGGCTATTTTATTTATTTATTTAAAATATTTCTATCCCGCCTTTCTCCCCAAAAGGACCCAAGGCAGCTATACAGTAGGATCCCTGTATCGGCAAGGGATCCCTTCCAAATTACCTGTGGATACTGAAATGCGTGGATTACAGCAAACTCTCTTTTAATTGTTGTCGTTTAGTCATGTCCGACTCTTCGTGACCCCATGGACCAAAGCACACCAGGCCCTCCTGTCTTTTTTAATAGTGAACACTATACACAGCATGGTATATGGCTCATTCTAGTGGCCAGTTTTCAAATACAGTGGTGCCTCGCTTAACGGGCGCCCCGGTTAACGACGAATCCACACAGCGATGAAGATTTTGCGATCGAAAAAGCGATTGCATTGTGATGTTTTAAATGGGAAAAATCACTTTGCGATGATCGGTTCACTGTTTCGCTTACCGATTATCGCATAGCGATGATTTTCCAACTGCTGATTGGCGGTTCCAAAATAGACGCCAGGTAAATAAAATGGCTGCCCGCTGTGTTTAGGGACGGATTCCTTGCTTACCGGGCAGCGAAAATGGTCGCCGTATGGAGGATTTTCGCTTAAAGGTGAGTTTTAAGCCCATAGGAACGCATTGAACGGGTTTTAATGCATTCCTATGGGTTTTTTATTTTCACATAGCGACGAAATTGCTTTGCAGCGATTTTTGCTGCACAAATTATCGTCGCTATGTGGGGCACCACTGTACAGATTTCTAGGATTTTACTCCTCATATTTTAAGTATTTTCAAACCATTGATAGGTGAACCAGCGGATACTGCGCCTGTGCATACAGGGTTGCTACTGTATACAGAATATGCTGGGTACATTTCCCAGCTCCTTGAAATGATTAAGGACCAAGAGTTCTCACCAGATTCTCTTCCTCCTTGAAATCAGCTTCTTGCCCCCAAAGAAAACCACCTTCTTGGTGCACCTCCTGGGACGTGGAATCCAGTTTACATCCTCTAACCCAGCTTTCCATCTTCGGTGGAAAGACAGTCAGTCTGGGATGCGTTCAAGGATGATCAAGTCCAGGATCTCCGTCTTGACGTGTTTTCCTGGCTTCAGATACGGAACACCCAAAACAGAAGAGGTGTTGTGCTATATGTGAGCAAGGTGTGCTCCTGTCTTTATTTAAACCGTTCTTTCCCACAACTTCTTGCTCCGTTTTTCTGTAACAAAGGGATAAAAAAAAAACCCTTGCAGGTTGGTGAAAGATGGCTTAATCCTTCAGGGGCTGGACTTGGTGATCCATAGGGTCCCTTCCAGCTCTGCTGTTCTAAGATGATGATGACGACAATTTGAGTTGAATGACTGTACTCTGAATGACTCTCCCACCCCCAGAGAGGGGAATTCATTAGTTCTCCCATCATAAGGATGTCCACATCCCATCTCCTGGTCCACTCTTTTTCCATGTTTCCTCCCTCTTTTTTGCCCTTGTTTTATCTTGTTTTTCCATTTCCCTTGTCAGACCAAAGGAGCTACTGTGATAGTCAGTGCCCTATCTATCTATCTATCTATCTATCGAAAGGAGCTACT